ACCCCACAAGATGTGTATGATACATAAATACATGTGTAGATGTAAATCATACTTGCTACCCCACCGGATGTGTATGATACATAAATACATGTGTAGATGTAAATCATACTTACTACCCCACAAGATGTGTATGATACATAAATACATGTGTAGATGTAAATCATACTTACTACCCCACCAGATGTGTATGATACATAAAAACATGTGTAGATGTAAATCATACTGACTACCCCACCGGATGTGTATGATACATAAATACATGTGTAGATGTAAATTATACTTACTACCCCACAAGATGTGTATGATACATAAATAGATGTGTATATGTAAATCATACTTACTACCCCACCAGATGTGTATGATACATAAATACATGTGTAGATGTAAATTATACTTACTACCCCACAAGATGTGTATGATACATAAATATATGTGTAGATGTAAATCATACTTACTACCCCACCGGATGTGTATGATACATAAATACATGTGTAGATGTAAATCATACTTACTACCCCACAAGATGTGTATGATACATAAATACATGTGTAGATGTAAATCATACTTACTACCCCACAAGATGTGTATGATACATAAATACATGTGTAGATGTAAATCATACTTACTACCCCACAAGATGTGTATGATACATAAATACATGTGTAGATGTAAATCATACTTACTACCCCACAAGATGTGTATGATACATAAATACATGTGTAGATGTAAATCATACTTGCTACCCCACCGGATGTGTGTGATACATAAATACATGTGTAGATGTAAATCATACTTACTACCCCACAAGATGTGTATGATACATAAATACATGTGTAGATGTAAATCATAGTTGTATCTTCTTGTTTTGGTAACATAATATTTTTTGATGACGTAATTTACCAGTGCCTGTTTCTTTTACTATTTCTTGAAAACATTTCTCACTTCCTTCAGTTATATAACTGATAAGTACTTACATGTGTTGCTGTCAAAATTCACAACATTCGGGCTACTGGCAACTTCACGTTACATAAGACCTTCACATTTCCCGTACCGCATCGCCTTACCGCTGTACTGAAATGCATGCAAATTATGAAGCCTGCTCGGGGATTTTACAACATAGATATTGGTACGAATACAGTGAAAATCTGTTGATTTTTAAGAGTGTGAAATCCAAACATCAAGGGCATCGCTTTCAGTACCGATTGCAAAACATCAACAAAGCGATCTGGAATAAACGATCAGCTGATCTCACAGTCTCACTTAGAACGGCTGCCAAGTGGTTAACGATACAATATACGCAGTCATGGTCATCCCTGATGTATCTTTGAATCAAGGAACATCTATTTCCAGACATGACAATAGATAGATCGTTGTTTAGATGAAAAGATATACTGTCAATACACCAGCGTTGCCAATAGAGGTGAAGGCTATACTGATTAACTGTCTATAGGTGTGAGAGTGACATCACATGTCCGCTCGTATTGCGCATGCGCCATCAGTTTAAGGTTGGACTGTCTGGGTCAGCACACCTAGCGGGGTAGTGAAGGGAAGATGAATTGAAAAAGATCGCCCATTATGTCAGGGCTTTTCATAAGTAAAACACCCTCTTTTTATTTTCTTATCTGATTGTATAACAATTTTCATGTAAGTAGATTTTTTGTTTGTGTTGTGGGATGGATACCCGTCCGTCTGCTCCAAGTGTGGCATCACTTAACTCGCCCTAGATTCTCAACCTTCCTGTGATTGATGGTTTCACATGCACGTAATTCTTTCAAAGTCAAGAGGGATTTACCTAACATTCGTCTACACGTTCGTCTGAGGACAGGGCACACAGATCTTGTGATATGCTACATAATGGTAGTGAGAGTGAACTACCCAGGGCCTTCGGACTTTACAACCTTGTGCATACTGTTACAACTCGTGTGGTAGGAATTTCTGAGAAGAAACAGCTTTCAGGAACTATTACATGTGATTATCATCCTCCAACAACATCTGGCTAGGTTACCCCACGTGACTCAGTTCTCTCTTGTACATCTCACAGGGACACTTTGGATTTCGGATTGGAATGATGTTATGCTTGTACTGTGGAGGACTACTCATTCAAGCAGATTATTGAGGAATTGCACTCTCCTATGCCTTGGACTAAGCCCTTAGTCACTAATGAACCTGCCCCTCATTTGATGGAACCGGAATTCGCAGATCCTGCACCCCCAGCAGTTCCACACCCTGCCATGGCCATCCTCCTCTAGTAAGTTAGAACAACAAGCTAAGCTGCTTTGCTCAGCTTCCCTGCATTGAAGTCTACTATTATTTAATGAAGTTTTCCTCTTCAAGATGAGTTTTCGCATGAACAAACTTGAGGATATGGAAGGTGTCAACATGCATATGATGAACATTGGAGCCTACCTTAATTGGATTGCTGTGTTAATTGAGTTTTGGCATAGGTTACTTGTGATTCATGAGTATGATACAGAAATGCCAGCGGATCAAGAAGGTCAAGTGGGTTTCATTCAGAGTGCTTTACATGGCATCCTCAAGGAATTATGAGTTTCTCAAGTATGTATGTCGTCCCAACTTGCTTTCCCTTAAAGCCACCATCTACAGGTTCAAATAGTCTCTGTACCCTTAACACCTAGGAACTGGGAACAGTCATTGATGAAGTCAATCAGGATACTAAAGAGAGATTCCAGGTTTCCACTATTAACCTGGTGGCGGGCGAAGACTTACAGGTGACCTGCCGCTACTCCCAGAGATCATCAGGATCCTCCTAAAAGAAGATATGTCACTGCAGGATGAGATTCTTTCTGTGCCCCTGCCTTGACGGACAAGAAAGACTCCTGTGACGACACAAATGACGACATCATCGTCATAGAGGTAGAAGCAAGTCCATCTCCAGAGGTAGTGGGACTTGCCGTAAAACACTACCAGTACTTACAACCTCCCTTTGTTAAACCCTTTCCTGTCAGCTTTGTTTATGGATCTTGATAACAGATATATGGATTTCAAACTAACGTGAAAACGAGGACCAGTGGGAGGGTGTCTGCTGTCTTACTCCAACATTTGGAAGCATGTGACGTCAGACCACTGCTTACTCAAAGTTGTAAGGACAGTTTACAGTCTGGACTGTCGTTACTTGATAACAGTGTAAGAACCTACATTGAAACGTCGCTCTTTATTGTAATAAAGAAGTTGTTCTTCCATAAATTCTTATCCTTCATCAGAACCAAATATGATGTTAAAATATGGGAAGTGAGGTCACAGAAATGCCAGTGTTACGGGTTTTCATGGAAAATGACAAGTATTTGCATCTATTATTTGTTACTGTTAATGTTTATAATCAAGGCTGTCACTAGTGTCAGCTATTTGGGAGTGTTACATGCCAGATCCTGCCTTTTCCCTCTGTTAAATTCTGCACATGATGTAGTAGAGATAAGGTATTTGAAGGAATTATTAAACAATAGTTACATTGTGCATAATTCTAAGAACATTACCTCTACTTAATCAGGAGCAGTCCCACCCACCTCCCCCATTCATCTGCATCTAGGATGCTGGGTATTTTAAGCCGCCCCACTTTTGTGCAGGAAACTGTACCCATTGTGAGTGAGGTGAGGGGTCCCCTGTGACTATGGTAAATAGCTGACAGTGAAAAGGGTGTCTGTTGAAAAATCTGAAGATTTAATAGTGTGATGACAGCCAAATTACAGAAATTATGGCTGTGATGGAATAGGGGTAGTATTCTTAGAATTATACAGAGTGATAACTATTGTTTGATGTCTTAATACATGCCATGCATTTTCTTTCTGTTTCTCTCTCAAACGTTTCTACTTCTCATGATCAGTTGTGACCAAATCAGTGATTGTACATACTCTTAGATCTTTACTTGGGACCGGTACATTTTAGCTTGGACCGGTATTTTGCATTTTGACCTTTCAACTTCAACCATAATGAAAGCTGAAACTTATTGCCATCATTCAGCCATTTTTGGTTGAAATGAAATGATGATTGAGTGAGTCCCCCTTTGTAAGACATGTAAGGGGGCACATGCAGTCCAGTTATCTAAAGACTGAAATTTTCTGTTCAGAGTTGTGTCCCTTAATTGTAAAAGGTTCCGCCAGGTGTTTGATGTGACAGTGATTCCATTGAAGTTTGTCTTCTGTTTTGTCTGTTTCACTGGCATTAAAGGGTAGTGTATAATTACAAAAGCCCAGGTGAATCTAATTATCCCCCGCCCAACGAAGTTGGCGGGGGATATAGAAACGGGCTCCGTCCGTCCTTCCGTACGTCCGGCCGTATGTCTGTCCGTCCGTCCGTCACGTTTCGTTTCTGGAGCATAACTCATAAACCATTCAATATTTTTTCATCAAACTTTGCAGGTCTGTCAGGTACATGCTGAACTGGTGCCTTTTGCTATTGAGAAATTTTAGAAATTTGTATTTTTTACATTTCCATGGCAACAAGATGGACTTAGCTTCTGTGAGGGTAGGGTTCGTTTCCGGAGCATAACTCATAAACCGTTCAATATTTTTTCATCAAACTTTGCAGGTCTGTCAGGTACATGCTGAACTGGTGCCTTTTGATATTTAGAATTTTAGAAATATTTATTTTTTACGTTTCCATGGCAACAAGATGGACTCATCTTTTTTTTACAACTTCCATGACAAGTTCCACCTCGGTTAGGGTTTGTTTAGATTTAATTATGTCATAAATTCTGCAACAGGGGCGGGGGATATAGCCACGTTAGTGGCAAACTCTTGTTGTATTCTGAGCAACATACATGATGATGAGTGTAATATATAAGCTGGTTACATAACAACTTCAGTGGAAGTCGCATATGTTGCAGGAGAGGAAATGGCACTCATTGAGCTGGTGTCGTTGTTGGCTGATACCTCTTTGTGCCTAAATGTTGGAATCTTAATGGGTATAATTAAGAACAGATGTCTTTAGATTGATTGTTTGATTTGAAGTTGATGATTGAGTGAAAGAAATTACTTTCAATTCAGAACTCCAACCTCCTTCCTGCACTCTTCAAACCGCATAGAGCAGGCCCAGGCATTCACATGGATCCGCAGTCACTTGGAAGAGGACAGTGAGATCTGTGTGCCTAAGCATGAGGTCTATGATGATTACAGGTCAGTGTTCAGCTACCACTAAACTTTCATACAAAACCTTTATAGGAGGAACTAGCCAGAATATGTTTCATGTAAGCTCAACTGGTGAAGCTATTGTTATGGCATTGTGTCTCTGTTTTGATATTGCCTTTAAACTTGATTATATAAATGTATTCCTGTTTGTTCACCATTGTAATGAAGCTTACAATTCAAGACTGTTACTAAACATAAAAATAACTGGTAATATGCGGAAATTCTGTCTTGTTTTATGCTCCTGATTCCGATTCCACTTCTTCCTGATTCCAAAGTCCCAGCTTTCAGTCCCTTATGTCATACCTTCTCTCACAACTTAATTTACAGTCTGTTTGGCTCCAAATGAGAACGTTGACTTGAAAAATAACTCAAAATCGGGAATAGTCTATTAAATGTCAATATGGTACACAGCAATAAATACCCTGTAGTCAACAATATCTGCTGTTTGTTATTTTTATTCCCATCACTGGAAAAAGTTGTTTAAGTTGACATCTTGAATGGAAGGGGCACAATGGTAGGAGGAACAGCGCAAACATGAACTGCACATGCTAAATTTTATATGTTGTTGTTGGCTGATAAGATGCGCTACTCAGCTGATGTGAAACAGTTGATTTTTAAGGTGTAAGATTTCTTTCAGTGTGAAGCAGAAAGAGAAAACCATTTTATGCCATTAATAAATACTTGAAACAAGCTTCTAATGCTCTTGGTATGTCTCCTAACAAGCTAAAAAACGTTATCCGTCGACAGGGCTCCAGCAATCAGGCAAAGCAGTTGGGGGAACATATCAAAGCCATGTACGGTTGATAAATTAGACAGTGTGTTATATGAACAATCTGGCATCCTTCATCTCCGAAATCATTATCAATCAAACCATCAAGCAGAAACGTGAAGAAGGATATGATCCTGTTTTCCTAGATGAGACATGGGTAAGTGCCTCTCACACAGCCAGATGTCAGTGGGTACCCATTGGGGTCTGAAAGGAGTCTGGAAGAAAGTTACCAATGGAAAAGGGTGAAAGACTTATTGCTGTGAGGGGGGCAGGGGTGGCCCAGTCGTCTAAGGCGCCACGATTCGCTGTGCAGTGTTGCGTCCCTTGGACACATCAGAAACCTATGATTGTGGGTTCAAATCCCGGTTCGCCCCGATTATGTTTCTAGGTTTGTCAGCACCATACCCCAGCTCGTGGGTATTCACCGAAATGGAAAACGTCTAGGACCTGCATCACTTCGGGCTTTCCTCCCACATAAAGCTGACGTGCCTTGATATAACTGGAAAACTGTTAAAAGCGGCGTTAAATCTAACTCACTCACTCACAGCTTGTGACCTCGTCTTTTGAGCCAAGGCTAAGGACAACAGAGACTTTCAGTAGCACACAGAAATGAACGGCAAGGTATCTGGAGTGGGTGAAAGAGAAATCGGCACCTGCTTTGTGTGCCAAGTCCCTTGTTATCTTGTACAATGAATCATATCACAGTATGCAGGATCCAGACAGCAATGCCCCGCCGTCTATTAGCCTTAACGGGGATATTGTGACATGCAACAGATGAATATGACCTTTCCTTTTAGGGCTACAAAACCACAACTCTTATGAAATCATCAAATATTAACAAACCTGACCCTGTGTATATGGTTGACAATTTCATCAAAGGTCAAGGTCACACCGTCTTATGACTTCCCCCCCCTTACCACTGCGATCTGAACCTAATACATGGGGTATCGTCAAAGGTGACGTTAGACGATTGAACACAATGTTTAGATTGCTGGATGTTAAAAAGCTAGTAAATAAATTTCTTGGTCGGGTAACAGTGGAGTTATGACAGCGTTGTGTTAGGAAAGTTGTCAACGAGATAGAGTCAAGATACTGGTCACGTGAGGAAGGGCAGCATGCAACAGTCCCACCTATAGTTGTGACCATCAGCAGTGACACAAGCGCTTCTGATGACGTGGGCTGTGACATGAGCGGGTCAGATTGTGATTAAAATTATCATGAGACTACCTCTGTTATGCTGTCATCCCCTGTACCATTGTGTAGCATATGCGTGTTTGCACTGTTCCTCCTACCATTGTGCCCCCTCCATTCAAGATGTCAACTTGTACACAATACAACATGATAGTTTTTTAAACAACTTTTTCCAGTGATGGGAATATTGTTAGGTACAAGGTATTCATTGCTGTATACAGAATTGACATTTTATAGACTATTCCTGATTTTGAGTTATTATTATGCAGTCTGTACAAGATGTCAGAACTTGTCATAGATGATACGTCATTGATAGTTTCAGACATCTTTTCTTCCGATCACTGCAATTAGATTTGATCGGTTTGAGTTATTATGTTGAGTGTTTCTTTTCTGAGTCACCTGTAGATCATGGCAGAAAATGTGCTTGGTGGTATTTCCACCTTCGAGACAACTACACATAATCTTAACAAAAACAACAGGAAATACTGAAAAATTCACCAAAAAACATTATATACAGTAGGGTCTTTGAAAGGCATATAGAAGTGATACACATGAGGAAGAGAATATATGGATGTGAACTTCTTTATTATGAGGAACACAACATTTCAGTGTATATGCTTACTTCTTTATCAGGTGAATGAATCATACAGTGATCTATACAGCAATATATATGTACAATATGTAGAATAATATACATATGTATATATTTATGATGCTTCAAAGTGAGTTGACCAGTCAGAGAGCAGAAATACTGACCCCACATGAGCCTGTATACTGTCAGTAAAAATCCAAGATGGTTGTTGCTGACTTACATGAGACTGTATACCAACAGTAACGGCCATCTTGGATTTTCCAACACCCACTTCACATGTTTCACATTAAAATTTTGGTACAGAAATTTGTTATTCGAAATTGTGATATGCAAGGACATTAATCTTTTTTAAATCATGTTCGTGACTTTATTGAGAAAGATTATATAGTTAAAATTGTCAACAAGGTTTGGCCTCTAAGGTTTGAGTAGTCTGCCTTTGAACCTTAACGTCATCGGTTGTAAGTGTCAAGTTTTGACATGACGTGGGATATGGATACCAGATAGTGTAAACCATGTCAACTTTTCGGCATAATAAATTTGTTATGGTGCCTTTAGTTGCTGTATACGGTGTCATATTTAGTTAGCAGAAACATTTAACACTGTATATGACAACTAAAGACATCATAGCAAATAATATAAGCAATATGTAGCAATATACAGTGTCTGCTCTGGCTTAAATTTTCTTTGGGTCACTAAAAACAATGGACCCTTCATCATGGAATTAGGGATCCAAACAAAAAGATTTGATGGTTCCAGTTTATAGCATTATGATATAAAATAAACAACTGAACATGTACAATTGTTGCGAAAATCAATACTTATTGCAACTTCAAAACATCAACAAATTATAAGTATAATAAAAGAAAGTGAAGTGAAGAGAGGTGTAGCCTAAACAGTGGATTTGTGGTCATCAAAGTGGAATGCCTATTGTTAAGGCAGGCAACAGTAAGTGCATTGGTTGTGGTTTCAGTAACACATTACAAGTCATACAAAGTGAACTGTCAAGTTGTAACCAACTATATTTAGTGAGTCAATCACTTTGGAAATGTTTGCTTTCTTTGAAACTGGTTTGTTATTTGTGTTATTCGTACCAGGTTTTTTCCATTTATTTACGGTTTTTGACTTCGGTTTTGCCGAAGCAATTTACTAAACTGTCCTGTGTATGGTGGCTAGTTCACGGCGATCACAGTAAACTACTTTCTCATGAGGATACGACATATTTCACAGAAGAAGGTAAATCACAAACTTTCATGAACAGTGCCAGAGTTGTCAATTTCACTTAAAGTGACAAACTTTTAAAGACAAAACATGAATAGACTATTGTAGAATAACTAAATATTTATAGTCAACAAAATGAAAACAACACTTACATTCATGTTTTGGCCTTTATTCTGTATTAATACAAGGTCACTAGCTTATCTCGCTTGTCACTGTTACTATGTTAAGTATTCTCGTGATGTGCCTTGCTATTTGACACAATGTTGAGATATTTTCGACCAATCAAGCTAAATAAATTACAGATTTGATTGTTGAATGTGCAGCGCCTGATTGGCTGATGCAAACCTACAGACCATACCAATAATTAATACATGCAACACAAAAAGTAGATGTTAGTCGAGATACTGGTTTGGTAATTTGTGATAAAACAAGAGAGAAAGTACAGTAAGCAATATATATAAACAAATACTGTAACTTTGACCAAAAAAACAATATATACAGATATATATATATATAGATATAGATATAGATATATAGATATAGATATATAAAAATAAAAAGCACAGTAAAGTTCTAACTCTCAGGCACAATATAGTAATAATTAAATAAGTGGAGTAAGATTGAACACAGTTTTAATAGGCTAGCGCTTTCAACTCGTACCACATACGAGTCTCATCAGGCCATAACTGAATAACGGACATTATTGTCAAGTTTCTTAACAATAGGCATTCCACTCTGATGACCACAAATCCACTGTTTAGGCTACACCTCTCACTTATTCAGTCCGTTATTCAGTTATGGCCTGATGAGACTCGTACGTGGTACAAGTTGAAAGCGCTAGCCTATTAAAACTGTGTTCAATCTTACTCCACTTATTTAATTATTACTACACACACACACACACACACACACACACACACACACACACACACACACACACACACACACACACACACACACACACACACACACACACACATATGTTTATGTTTATACATACAAAAAGTGTAATGCATCTAAAATATATACATATGTATGTTTGGAGGAATTTAGACAATAAACAATATATACACAAAATACTGTAACATTGACTAAAGAGCAGTGAATAAGGCAGGTACCAATAGTACATTATACACAAGGAAAGACAGTGTTCTGGTCTGTGTCGAGATCAAAACCTATTCAAAGCTGCTGCAATGACAAGAACAACACACATCACCTCCTCGTATATAATTTATGTGTTTATTTGGTCACAAGCCAATTTCATTTGATGAGAAAATATGTTCAATCTGTACAGATAAGAGATTCTGATATCTCATGAAGCTCAGGAAACTCACATTACCATGTTACCTGAGGAGATTTCTTTGTCACGTCTTTGTCATTGGTTAAGTTTTCCAGGATTTTTCCTGCGCAGGTTGAAAAGAAAAGACCAAAAATTCTGGTCTTAATGTTTAAGTCAAAAGAATATCCTTTAAATTATGTCAAAGATCACCATCTTGAACTGACACTTCAGGGATTCATGTTTTTCTTATCTTTTGCAGGCTGTACTGTGAAAGTCATAATCTGAAGCCCCTTTGTCCAGCTGATTTTGGGAAGGTCATGAAATGCGTTTTTCCAAATGTCAAGCCACGTCGCCTTGGGCAGCGAGGACAATCAAAATATCCTTTGAAAGAGACCTACCACTCAAAATCATTTTAAACCCACAGTCACAATATTATGAGAGCACATTGGCATGAATTAGATCAGTACAAATGACTGTTTACAAGGCTTGATACAGTCTCACGACCGTACACACCCAACAATACATGTGGGCCAGTTACAAAAACTGTTCTCTTGCCCTGACTTGCCCTGTCATTATGGGCATTGTTTGCATTATTTCCTGTGTTATGTTTTCACCTTGAACTTCACTACAGTCAAAATTTGTTTATCCGGGAACTTGCGTTTTCTCAAATATCTTCCAGATAAAAAACATTTCCATATACATAGCTGAATCCCTTGTCAACTGACCAGAGTTAACTCCCCTACCCAAATTCTATGGAGGCAAAGATATGCCTAGGATTTTTATATTTTTGCAGTAAGAAAAAAGACATTGTATCCCTTTAGCGAATTCAGGTAAACAAAAAAGTGATAACAAACTTAATGTTAACCAATGAAAGTGTGAAATTTGTAGTAAAACTTTGGATTGTGCATGTGGTTGCTGTAAATAACCGTGACTTTGTGCAATCTGCCCATCTGTTCCCTGAAGTCAATGTGAACAACATTCAATGAAATTTTTATTAAAATAGATTACAAACAGTCCAGATATAAAATGAACACTTTTTCAAACCATATTGTGTAATAACAGGATTAAATTATACAATACTCACTCTTTTGATGTTGGTTGCCGGGTGATGAATTACAAAACAAACACATTATTCACTATCCGGTTTTTGGGACACCCCTGTGTGTATTTTGCACACTGTTGGTAATTGAAAGTCATTGGAAGATTTCAGAATAAATGAAGCATCTTATGTAGTGTATATTTTGTTTCACATAAATATCGTCTGGTAGGCGAGGTTTCCTGATATCTGGGTTCTGGTGAAACGGGGTTCCGCTCTAGTCACTTATTTAGTGCTAATAACAAATAAAGACAAGACACCAGTTAAACATAGATTGCAAATATATTTTAGTGAAACAATTTTAGAACCATTGCATTGATCTGTGGCATGTTTACACACAAGGATTGAGTTTGCATTATTTTACAAATATTCAGTTAGTCTTTATTGTGAGGTGCAGCTGATGACAAATGTTTCTGAAAAAATATTTTGCCTTGTCACTTTGTTAGTTTCCCTGTTTGACAAAGGGTTTTATCCATACACCTCGATTTGATCAGGCTACCACAAAAGATGCTCCACTATTCCGACAGGCTGTTGTACTAGACACGGGCTCAGGACTAGTGGCTTGCGTCGCAGACTGATATTCTTCTCAAACACAAATTTCCTTGATAAGTAATGTTATAATTTCATGAAATTGTGTAACACAGTGAAGAGAAGGTGCTCTCAGAAGATGAACAGAGAAATAAACTGACTGGCCAGCTAATGCTGTGACAAGGATATTCACATGATTGAAGAGATCATACAGAACCAGAGCACAATAACAATCTATTCACAGGCCTGGGACAGACCCAGTGACAATAGCCATGACCCAATAAAGAAGTGCCTGAACCACCCAAACCATTTACGGAAGCCAGCTTCCCCATGAATTTGTAGATTTGTGCATGTTTTGAAGTGAACACAAGTATTTAAAGAAATAAATGTTTGATATTTTAGATGAAGATTATTATTAATTTAATGCATCTTTGTTTAATATAATAAAAACACATACTGGTACATGGGGACTAGGAGGGAATATAGCATTCTGCAGCAGCAGACAACACTATTCATGATGTAACGTTGGCCTGAAAATAGTCAAGTTCCGGGCAATCACTGGAAAAGTCGTTTGAGAATTTGGAATGGAGTGAGAGAGCACAGCGCATTAGGGGCAACAGCCATATTGAAGAACCCTATTCATGGCCTCAACTATCTTATTGTTTTTAGCTTGAGTGAGTGAGTGAGTAAGGTTTTACGCCGCTTTTAGCAATATTCCAGCAATATCACGGCGGGGGACACCAGAAATGGGCTTCACACATTGTACCCATGTCGGAAATCGAACCCGGGTCTTCGGCGTGATGAGCGAACGCTTTAACCACTAGGCTACCCGACCGCCCCTTAGCTCAACTGACTGGAGCTCCATCCATCCATCCACCCCCCACCCCCCCCCAATAACTGCTATGTCAACATCTCTGTAACTACGGCCCATGCCGCTGAAACTGTGTAAATGTTGAGAGTTATGGTGCTCGCAGACTTCTGAGCTAATTTTGAGCATGGCCACCACAGTTGTCATATTGAATACATGTATGTCATATTGAGCCATTACTCATTTCTGCATGTATCATTATGCAGTTTGATATGCACCAAGTATGTGACTTTCAGAATTACATAGAATATTTTTTTGTATTTTTTTATTGTGATCCAGTTACAACCTTTTACTTTCATACACCCCATTTTCTAGTGTTACTGAATTTGCAACAACTGTTCTCAAACTACAAGGCCTATGGAGCTGACTGTTTTTGTTAATGGTCCCAAATGTAGGCTCACGGAACATCCTGCCACATTTAGAAACCCATTAATGGCTGTCATTTGGCCTTCTTTTTCAAAAATGGATTTGAAATTTGGCATGGGTGTAGACAGAAGTGGAGCCTTACATATACATTTTTTACCTAGATTCAACCTTTACAACATAAAAGTTGGTGTCACCAAAGTGAAAAAAATGCTGTCATGGGCAAGAAATATCAAAGTATGTGCAAAATTGGAAAACCATATCTTTTGCCCACACTAGCCTGCCACAATCTTTCATCAAATCATCAAACTTGATGTAGGTTTTCACATATGATTGCCATGGAAACAATACTTGACTTTGAAAAGAATTGGTTTCAGCAACATTTGGAGAGGCTTTCGGTGGGATGGTCCAGGGACAGTTTCACCATATTGCTCCTTTTGATATAAGAGAAACTAGTGAAAAAAGAAGGCCCAAAATGTCCCTTTGTTACTTCAGTATCTGACAAGTGTGTTAGTTCACCCTTGTGTGGTCAAAACTAAAACAGCCAAACTTAACATGCCTGCAGTCTGCAACTTCAGTCACTAGTCTGTCCTTATGTTTCTGTGTTTTGCAAACCAACAAATGAGGAAGAGGGAGTGTAATGGTGAGGGGATTTAGTTTGGACCACAAGAGTCCTCCACACGTCTTCCATCAGCAGTGGTCAAATGGGGTAACGTTCTTTGAGGTTTTGTAACACTTCAGTTCATGGCTTATCCTCAACTCCCAAGTCTTTCATCACGACAATGCTCATCCCCACACAACTAGGGTTTCCATGTAGTTTCTGATACAGGGTGCGAGGCATTACCTGTTTATCGGTATATTGAGGTTCACTCTTTCCACGATACGTTTCACAATATCATTCTTTTGTGCTTATTATATCCGATTATTTCAAATAGCAATTTTTTTCTTGTGTTTATTAAGAACTTGCCAGATAGCCATAGCATGCATCCTGAGTGTGCATTCGTGCGTATTTACTGAATTGGTCAACATTATGCTTTTCTAGCATCTTGTGTTGTTCCAATTATGAACTTCAATTCATACAATGATGGTTCAAATTGCTTCTGCATTCAAGATTTAGACTTATACAATATATTGTGATACGTATTGCAATACGGCCTTGTGCATTTTAAAATATTGTGATACACTTCTAACCTCCAATACCCATCTCTAGAATTTTATGAATGTCATGTCATGACCTTCTCCGTCGCTCAACATGAGATTTGACCTTGAATAGCAACCAAAAGGCAGTCACAGACCCATCAGCAACTCGAAGCTGCAATGGTGCAGGAGTGGAACCAACTTCCTTTGGCTTTCTTTCAGACACTCATCAACTCAAAAAAGCTATGCCTGTATAGCTGCTCGGGAGGCCATAAAAACTATTGGTGGACGTTTTTTAGGCTGCAGGCACTTGCCATTTTGGCACTCGACGGGTACCTTGTTGAGCATGTATATTTTAAGCGAACATTCATATGGTAATCAAACACATGCCCTCAAAGTTGTTAACGACTGTTTGACCTGTCAGAAAAATGAATTAAAATGAATGGATCTGTTTGCGTTGCTGCTCAGTATATATCTCCATATGTTAAGATTAAGTTTGTGGTTACATTTTCTCAAAAAAGTGTTATGTATTTCAATTAAACTAAGTAGATGCCTTCTTTATTAGGAGATGGTCATGCTTTGGAAATGTCTCCGTCAAAAGTGTTCAGAGTTTAGGTTTTTGTAAAACATGTATTTCATTGTCAGCTTTCTGATGCATTGTTACCTCTACTTTCAAACACGTGGAGATGATATGTAATTTTGAAATGAGGCTGATGATATAGTTCAGGAAAGCTTAGTTGTTCACAGTAGAACAAGGTAATTGACACTATACCACATAAATACATCAAATTGGGTGCACCTGTTGAAATGTCCAAAGACAATTTTGCGTGAAGCCATGTTTAATGAACAAAAGTGGTGTCAAGTGCCACAACATGCCAACAAGCAACATGTAGCCAATAATCAGTCCGATCACTTGTCACAATGAGAGTATCCTACTGAAACGTAAACAATCACAAAAACAAATTCATTATGAAAAATGCGATCAGAGCCTGGCTCCATCGTCTTATGCTCCCAATAAATGTCTGGATAATTGCCAAGGAAGATTATTCCACTCTTTAGTAAGAGCTGTGCAGTGTTCCTGTTGAGTTGCCAGGACAGGACATTGTGAGAGGGCAATCTGCAGTTTGTTCCACATGTGTTCGATAGAGTGGAGTTCTTGTGACAGGACTGGCAGCTCCATGCAGACAAGGTCTCCTGCTCTAAGTACGCATCAATGACCATTGCTTGATTTGCTTGGTTGCTTGGTTTGTTGTTTAACACCGCATTAAGCAGTGTTCCACCTATATTTGACGGCGGTCTGTAAATAATCAAGTCTGGACCAGACAATCCAGTGATTGACAACATGAGCACCATGACCCTCCTAAGACGGGGCTAACAGGATCTGGTTAGTCTTACTGACTTGGTTGATGCATGTCATCGTATCCCAATTGCGTGGATCAGTGCTCATGATACCAATCATTGGATTGCCTGGTCTAGACTCGATTATATGCAGTCAGACGTCATATAGCTGGAATATTGTATTGCATTAAACAGCAAACAAACAAACAAACTTATCGTCCATGAGGATTAAGACTGGTCCGATTGTACCAGCATGTTGTTTCCTGATACTCCCAGAATGTCCTCCTTATAGTGCACACGTGTCCACATGCTCCGATATAGGACATGGACATCAGTTCTTCCAGCTCTACTGATCCCATGCCAAATCACGATTGAGCCCCCTCCACAGCGGTTATGTTCGGCTATGTTGGAATCCATGTCTAGGCCACACTCAGGCACAATGGTCTGTGGAGTCTAGACAGTATCTCGATTCATCAGTCAAAAATACTGGAGGCCAGTTCTTATCTGTTCAATTGATGTGATTTTCATCCCAATCTAAACTTGCCTGCCAATGAAACCGATCTTCCCGCTGTGTGGTGGAAGGATGTCGACCTCTGGCATGTCGAATGGTAGCGAATCCAAACGTCTCGTATCGATTCCATGTTCTGATGACACACTTTAGCTGGCACTAAAGATGTTTGCAACGTGATGTTGACCCTATGCATCTGCCTAAATACTTCGTCCGTCAAACGATGTCTCCGTTGGGGGAGCATAAGTGCATTCAGTTGTTGCAATCTTCAGTAGAAAAAGTTGTTGTACACTCTATTAATGATGTGAAGCCATTGTGTCATGATACATCCTGACACAGGTTTTTTCCAGCACCTTGTGCACATTATGCCCATTACTGCATGCCTCTGTCCATTCATCATGAAATTTGAGGCCAATAGGGGTCACCCAATCATTGTGTACAGGGATATTTCAATCTATATTGTTGGATGTTTTTTGCTATCATCAAAACTTGATCCTGAGCAAACTTTTGAGTAGAAAAGTATATTTGATTTTTCTTCTTTGTTTATTTTAAGATAAAAAGTTTTATCCTTAACTTTACCCACATATTGCTACAGTGGTCTGCGTAAGAAGCTTGAGGTGCAGCCGCCATCTCTTCCAGAACTGGAGATCACACCAAAGAAGGAAAAGGTTTATTTTTTTAGCTGTTTCTTGATGTCAATTGGGTTACGTCAGTGCATCAACTGTGAGATGCTTACAGGGCAGTTTGTGAGAGGCAATGGTCATGGAAGAAGTACACAGTTCAGGTTTTTCTCAAATCTAAAAGTTATAAAAATCATCACGTCATGAAATCCAAATTTTTTTAACAGTGATCCTCTTCACTGTTAACTATCCATAATAGTTGCAATACTAGTAGCTTCCCCCACATGAACCCTGTGCATGCACTGTCAAAAATAACCTCACTACTTGTGTGTGCTGATGTCAACATCATGAAAAAGTAGTCATTTAATATTTTTTTTATCACACTGTATTACTGTTTAGATTATCAACTTATGTTTGACCCACTGGATCCATCCTCACCTTTTTGATTTCTGGCGACCATCATGACACCTGCTAGAAGTGAGAGGCCCTTAGGATTGCTATCATAGAATTAATGTGCTCACTACGGCCACCGTATGGGTGATGACCTTTCCGTGTTTGAACCATTTCGATCTTTACACTGCACTGTTGAATGGCCTTGTGGTCACCTGGGAGCCACCGTGCCCATGCATGATGGTTTTGGATCTTTTGACTATACCAAGGACACTATTGGATGGGGCCGTAGACAGCCAAGGACCCTTGAATTGCGTGATGCTACTGTTCAAATGGGTTGTGGTTGGCCTTTTGCCGCCCGACCAGGAGAAGGATTCTTCAGATCAAAGGAGAACAATCAACCTAGTTATGACTTGGGTCAAAGACTGTTGGATATTGGATTTAGTCATAGTGCTACCATTGGCTTGTGACATAAGTCAGGATTCGGATTGGCACAGGACGTCTGTGGACCAACCTTGGCATGGTGTGGAGTAAGGACACACACTTATATCTGGATCAAACAGCGGTTGACTTTACTGCTAGAATTTGGGTTTATCTTCAGTAGGATTCAGAATTACGTTAACTTTCCTTGGTATTGCTAGATGGCAGAACCCACCGATCACTTGGGTGTATTCTGGTGCTGATGAAACACGTTTTCTATTTGCAAGTATTATAAATTCAAAATCAATTCAAAGAATATTAGTCTCAAATACATCCAGTACTCCCCCCTCCTTACCCCCCCCCCCCCCAAGCGCAGGGTTCAGGTGGGGGATACTAATACTATCTTTTTAGTAGTATTCTTTGAATTATTAACGACAACTATTGTTTGATACGTGCATGTTTCTAACAAATATTACCTAATTGTATGCCAATGGCATTTCTGTCAAGGTCACAGTTCAGATAATTGTAAAATGTCGTTGTTCCATTCATTTTCCTGAATATTTGCAAATATAAACATTAAAGGATATGATGTAACAGGCTTCTTCATAATCATTTTCAAATGTGGAGCACAAATGCATCTGTCAATGTTCAGTATTCCAGATATGCATTCGACTTCTGGTGTGAAATCCTACTCTTGTATAATCATATGTTTCACTAAATCCAGAAGTGATGCTATCCCCTTATCAGATTGGATTTGCATTTGATGTTCCTATCAAGGTGGAAGTGTGGGATCTGACTGAAGTTGCATACAACATGAGGGCTTGCCCAGCTATTTATCAACCTAGTAACACATTGAGGAAACAATGATGAAAGTAATGCTTTTTTACAAGGTCTTGCACACATCTAAAGTCATCAACTCATTACTCTCTTTGTTTTAGGAAGAAAAGACTGAGGAAGACGAGGTTTACACTGCTTCACGTCAGCTTGTGTGTGAATGGGCACATAAGCTTTTGGGAACAAATTTCAACAATTTACGAGAATTGGCTGAGTTTCTGGTTGGGAATCTGTACGTCAACAGTAAATCAACTGCAGCATTCACTGTGTTAGCTGCCATGCAAGATGCAGGACTTCATAATTCAAAAGGTAAAATAGTTTCTCAACATGCTCAATAACAGCATTGCATCTGTTCCAGTTACCAATTTTTGTCTACATACGTTTGGGTATACAAGGGAAGGTGTATAAGCAGTGACTGTATGACAGGGAAGGGTCCTCACACAGCCAGTGTATGGGCAGTGACTGTATGACGGGGAAGGGTCCTCACACAGCCAGTGTATGGGCAGTGACTGTATGACAGGGAAGGGTCCTCACACAGCCAGTGTATGGGCAGTGACTGTATGACGGGGAAGGGTCCTCACACAGCCAGTGTATGGGCAGTGACTGTATGACAGGGAAGGGTCCTCACACAGCCAGTGTATGGGCAGTGACTGTATGACGGGGAAGGGTCCTCACACAGCCAGTGTATGGGCAGTGACTGTATGACGGGGAAGGGTCCTCACACAGCCAGTGTATGGGCAGTGACTGTATGACAGGGAAGGGTCCTCACACAGCCAGTGTATGGGCAGTGACTGTATGACGGGGAAGGGTCCTCACACAGCCAGTGTATGGGCAGTGACTGTATGACAGGGAAGGGTCCCCACTTTACAGGTGTATGGGCAGTGACTGTATGACAGGGAAGGATCCTCACACAGCCAGTGTATGGGCAGTGACTGTATGACAGGGAAGGGTCCTCACACAGCCAGTGTATGGGCAGTGACTGTATGACAGGGTAGGGTCCTCACACAACCAGTGTATGGGCAGTGACTGTATGACGGGGAAGGGTCCTCACACAGCCAGTGTATGGGCAGTGACTGTATGACGGGGAAGGGTCCTCACACAGCCAGTGTATGGGCAGTGACTGTATGACAGGGAAGGGTCCCCACTTTACAGGTGTATGGGCAGTGACTGTATGACAGGGAAGGGTCCTCACACAGCCAGTGTATGGGCTGTGACTGTATGACAGGGAAGGGTCCTCACACAGCCAGTGTATGGGCAGTGACTGTATGACAGGGTAGGGTCCTCACACAGCCAGTGTATGGGCAGTGACTGTATGACAGGGAAGGGTCCTCACACAGCCAGTGTATGGGCAGTGACTGTATGACAGGGTAGGGTCCTCACACAGCCAGTGTATGGGCAGTGACTGTATGACGGGGAAGGGTCCTCACACAGCCAGTGTATGGGCAGTGACTGTATGACAGGGAAGGGTCCTCACACAGCCAGTGTATGGGCAGTGACTGTATGACGGGGAAGGGTCCTCACACAGCCAGTGTATGGGCAGTGACTGTATGACAGGGAAGGGTCCTCACACAGCCAGTGTATGGGCAGTGACTGTATGACAGGGAAGGGTCCTCACACAGCTAGTGTATGGGCAGTGACTGTATGACAGGGTAGGGTCCTCACACAGCCAGTGTATGGGCAGTGACTGTATGACGGGGAAGGGTCCTCACACAGCCAGTGTATGGGCAGTGACTGTATGACAGGGAAGGGTCCTCACACAGCCAGTGTATGGGCAGTGAATGTATGACGGGGAAGGGTCCTCACACAGCCAGTGTATGGGCAGTGACTGTATGACGGGGAAGGGTCCTCACACAGCCAGTGTATGGGCAGTGACTGTATGACGGGGAAGGGTCCTCACACAGCCAGTGTATGGGCAGTGACTGTATGACGGGGAAGGATCCTCACACAGCCAGTGTATGGGCAGTGACTGTATGACGGGGAAGGGTCCTCACACAGCCAGTGTATGGGTAGTGACTGTATGACGGGGAAGGGTCCCCACTTTACAGGTGTATGGGCAGTGACTGTATGACGGGGAAGGGTCCTCACACAGCCAGTGTATGGGCAATGACTGTATGACGGGGAAGGATCCTCACACAGCCAGTGTATGGGCAGTGACTGTATGACGGGGAAGGGTCCTCACACAGCCAGTGTATGGGCAGTGACTGTATGACAGGGAAGGGTCCCCACTTTACAGGTGTATGGGCAGTGACTGTATGACGGGGAAGGGTCCTCACACAGCCAGTGTATGGGCAGTGACTGTATGACAGGGAAGGATCCTCACACAGCCAGTGTATGGGCAGTGACTGTATGACGGGGAAGGGTCCTCACACAGCCAGTGTATGGGCAGTGACTGTATGACAGGGAAGGGTCCCCACTTTACAGGTGTATGGGCAGTGACTGTATGACAGGGAAGGATCCTCACACAGCCAGTGTATGGGCAGTGACTGTATGACAGGGAAGGATCCTCACACAGCCAGTGTATGGGCAGTGACTGTATGACAGGGAAGGGTCCTCACACAGCCAGTGTATGGGCAGTGACTGTATGACAGGGTAGGGTTCTCACTTTACAGGTGTATGGGCAGTGACTGTATTACAGGGAAGGGTTCTCACTTTACAGGTGTATGGGCAGTGGTTGTATGACAGGGAAGGGTTCTCACTTTACAGGTGTATAGTGAGTTACTGTATGACAGGGAAGGATTCTCCCTTGACAAGTGTATGGTGAGTTACTGTATGACAGGGAAGGGTTCTCACTTTACAGGTGTATGGTGAGTTACTGTATGACAGAGAAGGATTCTCCCTTTACAAGTGTATGGTGAGTTACTGTATGACAGGGAAGTGTTCTCACTTTACAGGTGTATGGGCAGTGACTGTATGACAGGGAAGTGTTCTCCCTTTACAAGTGTATGGTGAGTTACTGTATGACAGGGAAGTGTTCTCACTTTACAGGTGTATGGGCAGTGACTGTATGACAGGGAAGTGTTCTCACTTTACAAGTGTATGGTGAGTTACTGTATGACAGGGAAGGGTTCTCACTTTACAGGTGTATGGTGAGTTACTGTATGACAGGGAAGGATTCTCCCTTTACAAGTGTATGGTGAGTTACTGTATGACAGGGAAGGGTTCTCACTTTACAAGTGTATGGTGAGTTACTGTATGACAGGGAAGGGTTCTCACTTTACAGGTGTATTGGGCAGTGACTGTATGACAGGGAAGGGTTCTCACTTTACAAGTGTATGGTGAGTTACTGTATGACAGGGAAGGGTCCTCACCCTCTTGTTATTGTACAACCATGATGAAAGGGAAAATGCCACAAACAGGGGAAAGTTTAAAAATGTCTCTAAAATGTGTTGCTGTTTTTGTTTGCAGAAACTGTGTCAATATGTATTTGATAAAAGAAATGTTTGACATCAATTTGCTTTGAGGTTTGCTTGCTATTTTTATGCTTTTTGTGTGTTGCAGTTCCTGTATCAAGCCTGTTTACATGCACGTCTGGTGGCAACAAACACAAGGAGACTCAGCTTCAGCTTCAACGGAAGTTGCAAGAGAGAGAACTTATTAAGGAACAGAAGCGAAGACTACAACAACAGCGATCTGAGAATGAACGTGAGAATGATCACCTTCGTTCACAATCTCTTGGTCATTCACCATCACCATTTCAGTTAGCTGCAAAAAGTGCTGCTCGCAATATAACCAAGCTTCTGCAGTCTCCAGGAGCCGGGGACAACTGTCTCAAGACAAGCCCCCACACTCTGCAGGAAATGATAAAGCAACAAGACAGAAAGTCTGGTGTGGAGGCTACCATAGACAACCATTGTAATGGCCACAGTGATATGGATGTTCAGGCTGACAATGGTAGTGTTAATGGAAGGCAGAGTGATAATGGCCAATACCATGTTGTCAAAAAGCCAGCTGTAAGGCCTGCTAGCCAGTTAGGAGATATTTCAGATAAAGCAGTTCAGAAGACAGATGTTCAAACAGACCATAAGTCAAACCCTTTAAACTCTAATTCTGAAACAAATTCTGAAAATGGACATTTTGCTTTGCCAACAACTCCTTCACGCAGTGCTTTTGTACCTGTATCAAATCAAAGAAAGGATTTTTGTTCCACAACAACACATCCTAATTCAGGTTTGATAGACTTCTTAGAGGAATCAGGAGAAGACAAGCATACTTTACTAACTGAATCTTTTGACACTGATTCAAAGACCAATGGGAAGTCAAACTATTTAAAGGACATGCTTCAGAGAGAAACAAGTTCTGATAACAAATCCAGCAACTCACCTGTTATTGTCAGTGGTGAAAGTAGCACAAGTACTGTTCCTTCGTCACCTCAGACACCTAAGAAGTCTCGAAGTCGCTTTACACCAATACGCCCTAAAATAACACCAACAAAGACTGTATCATCGATCCTCAAAGACCACAAGAATGCAAACGGTGATGGTCCTGCATATGACAGCAGACCTGTTTCGGCTATTCTGAAAGAAAAACGTGCCCGTGAAGCTCAAGAAATTTTGACTCAATTGGCAAGCAATGTTCAGTTGCAAAGCAGTCCTTTACCTCAAGGCATGAATGTCTCTGGACCTGTTTCCTCGGTTTCGTCAGATGTCCTTAAATTGCCACTACCTGCAGGGAATTGTTCAAATTCAAATGAAGTTTTCATTATTGTTGGATCCCCAAAAGCAGGAACATCAAAAGTAAATAGTCAGTCAATTACAGTATCCCAGGGAGCATTTGACATTATGAGCAACACTCAGTTCCCCCCAAATGTGACAGCACCAATGCCATCCTCAGTTCCATTAACTTTGTTGCTAGCAAAACAAGAAGAAATGCAATTTCAAGGTAGTAGACAATTGGACAGCAACTCACAGGACAATTCAGATTTATCTGATAATGGCAATATCACTGACAATGATATACAAAAATCTGATGAATCTCAGGACATGATCATTTCAAGAGACACTGACACACCATCAGGAAGAAAACGCAAGTCCAGTGACAGAGATGTGGAAAGTAAAACCAAAAGAATGAATTCCACCGACGTAAGAAATGAAGAAGATGAAGTGTTTCTTCCTCCTGGGGAAACACAGACAGCAGGAACAGTTGATCCAAACTCAAAGACGATGTCTGTGTTGGTTCAAGCTGAGGCAGTGTCTTGTGGCTGTGAGAATCGTGCATCTGGTGGCAAGTTGAGTGTGGAGAGTCTGGAGAGTGATGCCTTGCTTGACAGTGCACCCATGGCAGTGGACCAGGATCTTGTTTCTTCTCTTTCAAAACCAAATCTTCTCACAAGTCAGACTGCTTCTATTGGCATCAGTGCAAAGTCAATGAGATCAACACAAAAACAACTTCTGCAGCAAAAACTGCAGCTAGATCAGCGCGTCAGTAATTATCTTAGTAAAGGTCATAAAAGCAACAAGGAGATAGAATCGGTCACTCAGCAATTGTCAGTAGTAGACAAATCAAGGGTTGAGCAAATACTGCAACAATACATTCAGCATCAGCAAAAGCCTGATGTGAAATCATGTGTAGCATTTCCAAGCAAATCAACCCCAATGCCAAACAATCAACCAGTAAACCTCTTGTCATTACTTCAAAGACCTGTGTTTGATAGTAAAAAGTCAGTGTTAAGTTCTGTAAGCAAAACAAAGGAAGTTTGTCTGAATATTGAGAATTCAGGTCAGAGAATGGCCTCTGAAGTAAGCACCCAGATAGTGGTGAACAAGGATACCCAACAAGTGAATAGTAATACTGTTGATATGTGTGAGGACAGTTCAGATTTACCTTCAGATGTTGCAGATTTTATAACAGAAAATATGGCTGCCAGAGACAATTCGACTGGGCCAGTTGATCCTGTGAATCAACAAATGAAAAGTAAACACACTGCTGGAACATCCAACAAAGTGAGACACTTGCTACAAACAGATCACCCTCAGAATCAAAGCGAATGTGAAACTGATGATGCAGGTATCCGTGGATCCACCGAGCAATTTACTGTTCCATCCACCCCACCCCCACGCCAGAAGGAGCTAACTAGTTCTAAGCCAAGGTTTGCTACAGTACAGAGGAGTGCCTCTCTACCAATGTTTGCTCCACTTTTAGCCAATAATCAGTGCCAAACATCTCTTATGACACTTGGAAAAGGGCTGGATATGCCAGCACCCCCAAACAGAGTGATAGATTCAAATTCACCACAGCCCTTGCTTCAAAAATCGACAACTCCCATAAGTTTTGCTAATTGTGTCCGTCATCCTTCTGGAAGGCAACGCCAAAATTCAATTGACCGTCTCAGTAACCATACTCCGATGTCAGATGCAGGTTACCATAGCTTTGATGCAAGTCCTGTGATGAATTCTACACCAATTCCTCCAGTAGGAACAAGTGATAATTTGACAAATAATGCCAGCAATACAAGTACAAATTCTGTGAGATCTGATTCAGCACAGAGCTTAGTTAATGAGTCAGTTGTTGTGCAAAGTCCCATACAACTGGCATCACCTCAAGTTCACAGTGCACGGTCCACACCTAGTTCTATTATGTCGCCACAAATGGCATCCCATAATAGTATCAACACAAGCCCGAGTGAGAACATCACTTCTCCAAATTCTTTTATCCCAATTCAGGGTGGACTGACAACGGGCTGTTCAACACTGAGTAGTCCACAGCTGGTGACTCCCATCAAACCCATGGTGACTGTAGCAGCTTCACCCAGTACAGTTTCATCAGTTACATTCAGTAGTAGTATTTTGATGCAGCTTACATCAAATAATAATGGAGATCACAAGTCCAGTCTCCTCTTCCATCACACACCCAATAACCAGCATAAGCAGAGGGACATGAAGACATCTTCAAACACCACAGATGTCAAGGAGTCAAGTGCTAAAACTGGTGTTTTGCATAAACTACTCAATTCAAAGAGTTTGCCAAGCTATGAAGAGGCTGTACACCACTTGGGCAGGATCAACTTTGAGGAAAATGGCACAAGTGGTACCACTGGGGTGACATCAGTTGCAAATCCTTGTTTAGAGACAGAAGTTCAAAAACAGGTTGTCAAAAGTGTCAATGTGAGTAAGCCTGTGAATGTTTCACTTACACGGTCAATCAGTGTTTCTGAAAATGATTTAAAGCTAAAACCAGATAACAGTCCGGACACCCAAGATAGAACTACTACAGGATCAGATGGAAGACACATCTCAACTAGTGAATACCCCTTCTCTTATCAACTTGCATTACTTAGAGAAAAGTGTCTAAATCCTCCTGGAAAGGAGAATAAAAGTGAACAAGGTAATAACAACAAAGGGCAATCCGTCCAGAGAATGTCTGCAGTGAACATAATGCCCTCAGAACTTAAAACCTTTTCAAATGGTAATAGTGCACTTGCCAATGAATCAAAAGAGACCAAATTGCCTGATCCCCAGCAAGTAGATTCCACTGTTGAGGCAAATGATAACTTAATTCATGGTAAAGCTAATGTAACACACCATCATTATGGCACTGCTGCACAGAAACTTTCATCATTAAGCCAAAGCATGCCTGTGTCAAGTACAAATGCACGATTGAAAGCATCAACAACTGTGATAAAACCATCTGCAAGTCCAGCATATCCGCGCACATTCTCTACAGATTTGGTGCCTTCTATTCCATCCAATGCATTGTTATCTACCAATAAACCTAGGCAGCTGGCACCAACAGCATTTGCTACTTTTGATTTACCAAACGTCAACTATATGGGCAATGCCCCTAATATTGACCTAGGGAGTATTCTGCAAGGCAAACAGGGAGCAGGTGGAGGTCTTCATACCGCCAGTGATAGTGCTGGCGGTGACCGAAGCAGACTTACCTTGATGCAGGCATTACAGCCCACACAGACAATAAATGAAGAGGAGCTGCAGTCAACATTAGAGATCCTTCGCAGTCTCGACAGTCAGTATTTCTCTCAGTCTGACCTAGACCTAGACACCATGCAGCCCTCTCTACAGCAATCACATCAATCTTCATCTCAGCATGAACTGCAGCTTCAGTCACAGGCCCTTTCTGTTAACCAAATAGACCAGGATGGTGCTGCAAACTCAAGTGCTTCCTCTGATACTCAAGAACAAAAGAGTAGCATGAGGTCATTTACAAATAATGTGTCCAGCAGATAGCTCTTAGCCATTTTTGCTCACTCCATGTTATCAAAGCAGCTATGCGGTTGATAACTTGATCATAAAACTTTATAATTATTAAGAAGATGACAAATGCATGGCTTGTGATCATCTTAAATTATTATGGCAATTGTCAGTTGTACATTCATGTTGATAGCCAAGTTGATGAACAGTGTGTTGTGTGTTTGGGAAACAGTTCAGATCTGTAGCTTCTTGTCCAAAGTAATCATTCCCTATAATAGCATACCTTTTTGAGATGTGTGTACATTTTTCAAAAATAACTCATGATATTGCAAAACATGGCATGGTACCTAGTTGATCAACAAGACAGGGTCACAGTATTGGACCAACAAATCATTGTTACTAATTTTATTATATCAGTAGTGAATACAGTTACCTTTTGTATCAACCCAACATTAAATGATCTGACAATCTGTCTAATCTGACATTACATTTTGGTCCTTTTCTAGATTGTGAAATCATCTCGAGTTCACAAACCATTTGGTCCATGTACATATCTTCAAGATCATGTTTATGCTGTGCAAAACATACATTTTTGGCTTACTTGATGTGAGGGCCATGTCAGCTGAATTCATGACATGTTTGTCCTGCTGTCAATCGTTGCTTCTGTAAACACTGCCTGAGTCGGCACATGAACTGATATATAGCATGCTTATCAACACCATTGTGTTTATTTGAAGACAACTTAATTTTTAATTTTTTGTGTGACATTTTGTTCAAAAGAAAGAACAAAAAACGATATTTATGAACATCTCAGAAACTACAATGCAGTAAATGGTTTAGTAGATTTATGATTGATATTCGACTTGAATGGTTGTAGAGGATGCTGAAAAAAAAAAGACAAGAATTCTCAGAGACTGTTCCCAAATGTGTACGTATGTACTTACAAAATTAATGAGTTCAAGATTGACAAGTTCATTAGAATTAGCTTTTTGAAAAACAAAATTAGGACGAATATATTTCAACATCTTGAAAGAAAGCACATTTTTTAAGACTGGAAACTGTAAGTGAATGAGTTGGGTTTAACAACCGCTCTGAACAATATTTTAGTATTTTAGTTATTTCACAATGTGTCAGCTTAATGGGGGAGGAAAAGCCGAAGAGATGCATGTTTTGGACATTTGCCACTTTGGTGAAACCTATGAACACAGGTGTAGTGCTGATAAACCAAGAAACATAATTGTAGGTTTCAGGTGTGCCTAAGAGATGCAACTCTGCTCAGTTAATTGTTGCAGCTCAGACACCCTGGAAACTTTGAAATAAAAAACAATGGCATCTTCCTGAGGCAAATGATTTAACTGACTACAAAAGTCAGTTTCCACCCTTGTTGAACTTGGCTGGAATTTCTGGGCTCGATCGTAGCGTCGCCAGCGGCTGTTACGAGTAATGTCCTTTCTATGCCTCTGCTTATTGACCAATCAGATTCCACCACTCATATTGCCTGCATTTGCTTCGAACATGGTTGATGCATGTCATCGTATCTCAATTGCGTGGATCAATGCTCATGATGTCAATCACTGGATTGTCTGGTCCATACTCGATTATTTACACACCGCCGTATTGCTGGAATATTGCAGAGTGCAGCCTTAAACAACAAACCAAACCAAAAATCAAACATGGTAGGGCCAAGTCAAGACAATCTGATCGATAACCAAGATCTATATTGTCATAAAACAGGTCTTGTATAGCGAATTGCATCAAATCACATGAGCACCTTGATTGAAAACATGGAAAGATTTGGAAAATATCTGTTGACACTGATGCACACGCTTTGCAAATCCTGCAGTAGACTCACATCTGCACAACAGTTTACAAACCGAATGTTGATTTCTTTATGCGATTTTCATCTACTATGCATAACTCGTTAGTCCAACCAAAATATAACTCCAAAATAGGAGCCTAGTTCGGCAAGGGTGGAAACTGGACTTTTAAAGTCCGTTAACTCCCATGCCTCAGGAAGATGTAACAATGACAGAATAGTTTCAAATGAGGCATGAACATCAAGCTTTGGCCATCAAGACAATGTTTCAAAATACTTCTCAGAAACTGCTGAACCATGGGATGAGTGTGGTTTGTTTGTTTGTTTATTTGTTTAGCACTGCACTCAGCAATATTCCAGCTATATGACGGCGGTCTACAAGTAATCGAGTCTTAACCAGACAATCCAGACATTGATATCATGAGCCTCGATCCACGCAATTGCGATACGATGACATGCATCAGCCAAGTAAGCGAGCCTGACCACCCGGTCACGTCAGTTGCCTCTTACGACAATCATCGTCGCCTTTTACGGCAAGCATGGGTTGATGAAGGGCTATTTTACCCTGGACCTTCACGGGTATTCTTACAGGGTCGTACAGTTAACATGGACGTCATTGGCGAGCACTCTGGTTTCCCTCTTCCAAGAAGGTACGTACTGGATATAATTTCAGCTGTTAGACAAAGGAAACTGAAGCATTATGAATGCACATTTGGGATCCCGGCGATGACTGTGACCGACTTTTGGTCCAAGATTCAAAGCGCGGTGCTGTTTGACTTATGTTTACTTTCAGTTGTCCTGCGTAGTAAAAACAATGCAGACTGAATTACCAAAAAGATTTTGAGCATTGGTGCTACCAGTTTTGCACACACAACCACAGGAACATTTTGTTAATGCGTATGCATAGAAATGTCAATAATACCCATGTTTGGACATATATTAATATTCATATTCCAGATTTGCAACCGGTTTCAGTTTGGTCTTTTAACGAACAAAAAGTGTTATTTATTTACTCTTTAACGTGGGTAATAAATGTAATACCACACTCATTCTCGTTAGATACCATTTTTACGAAACTCCTGAACTTTCTATCGTTTCTGACCTCGCTTTTGTTTCGTTGAGATACCATAGGAAGACCACACGTTTCGTACAAATCGTATCTTACGAGATTGAGTGTAGTATTCTCTATTGACGTTATACTTTGGTCTTTTTACCGAAGCGACCCTGAATGCAGCCCGCCTGAAATCAAGGCGTCCTTTGAATGGTGTGTGACCTTAACAGATTGACATTGGCAGCAAAGATTAGGGTATGCTAGGCATAACCAGGGATGTTACACTATGTATATAGAATAATCAAGGTGTCAGGGTGACGGGCGGTTTAACACAGGCGGACTGATTTGGTTGTTGTGAATGGACATCTGATTGGCCAGCGATATGTTGACGAAAATTTTGCGTGCTGTGGTTGTTCCTTGGCTAAATTTTCAGCAGAAATTTTGAACTGCAGGATAACACATCAAGTCGTCACCAGTTGTCTCAGACGAGAAGGCTTACAGATATGTGAGATGTCAGCCCGAGAGAGTCCATCAGATACCCACTACACGCCAACGTGACCCAGCTTTGGGTAACTCTTCGGGCGAAATGGCGGGCAATACCAAGGGCACCCATACGCAAGTTAATCAACAGTATGCCATCAAAGTATCGTGCATTAGTCACCCAACCTGGAGGACACAACACCTATTCATCTACATGTCCGAAAATAATTTTACAGACATATATCATCATTACACCTTCAGTATCATCAGTTCCAATGTCTTTTGTGGCACGCCAACCTGTTGATGCAAGTACCTATACTGTCATAAAGCGCACATGTGTAACCCAGAAGATAAAACAAATTGTAATTTGCATGTGGTACCTTCAGGATCAGGATTGACATTTTCAGTGTTGATAGTTATGTGAAAACAAACATTATCGAAACAAAACTAGTAGATATGTTCACAACAATGACTTCTCAAACATTCGTTGTTTTCAAGGCACAAAGGGTATTAAGTTGACACAGTCATAGTGGTATACATGATGATGTTGACATTGCAGTGGTAAAGTCATATATATATTTATATTCATAAGTAATCTTCTCAAAGTAATAGCTACATTGGTGTAATATTATGTTATATTGCAGTAAATCAGTGGAGACATGCAAATATTGTCAAAATATAGTGAGTCAAATTAAAAACTTCACATTTTTAAAAGTAATCCCATATATGATATACAACGGACAAATGTATCAGAGAAGCTAATTTTTAATCATTAATGTCCAAAGAAGGATTTTAATTAACCGTGGTAACCATAATTTGTTCCAAGCACCTACGGTATTCGGTAATAACATCAACAGTTTAAATCATAAGTCCCAAGCACGAGAATCTGATGGCAAACAAGTTCAGTAGCGTGTATGGCCACCATGTGCGTTGACAACTGCCACACAACGTCTCCGCATGGACCTTGTGATGCTTGTGAACACATGATTGGGAAGACGACGCCATTGTTGCTGCTAAATGGTGCCAAGATCTTGCAAATTCTGTGGTTGGTTCTGGAGAGTGCGCAGACTTCTGGCAAGAGCATCCCAGACGTGTTTGATGGGATTGAGGTCGGGAGACCTTGACGGCCAGTCCATGACGTTGACTCCCGCATTCTGAAGGAAATTTCGTGTCAAAATTGCTGTGTGGGGTCTGGCATTGTCGTTGGAAGATCAAACCGGGTCCATGTGCTGCCATCAAAGGCAGAGGTTCTGGTGCCAGTACCTGGTCGCGGTAAGCAGCAGCGTTGAGGTTGCCACGGATGACAAGAAGCCTGGAACGTGTATTGCCACAAAAAGCACCCCACACCATGACACTTCCGCCTCGAAATCTGTCAACTTCCCGTACACAACACTGGGCGTAACGTTCATGATGGCGCCTCCACACCCTCGCCCTATCATCAGCAAATCGAAGATTAAATCGGGATTCATCACTGAAGACGACTTGATTCCTATTCCTCCGAGTCCATCGTAAGTGTCGCTGTGCCCACAATTGACGATGACGTCTGTGTAATTGAGTCAGAATCGGCCCGCAGTATGGCCGTCGTGCTTGAAGGTGAGCATTTCTCAGACGGTTTCGAACAGTTTGCGCACTCAGTCTACCACTAAATAGTTCATTTCTGGTTGATGTAGCCGTCAAAAATCGGTTACTGAGGTGACGTAAGACAATGTGACGATCCTCTGCATGTGACGTCACACGTGGTCGACCAGGCCGAGGGCGATCAGCGGTGGTACCCGTTTGCTGTAGACGCGTCTGTAAATCATAAACAGTCCGTCGACTACAACCCATCGTCGTTGCGACTTCAGCTACGGACGTTCACGTCTGCAACATGCCGATGGCACGTTCACGTTGCACATTTGAAAGGCGTGGCATGACAAATGGCCGTAAAGAATTTTGTTTTCTTGTGTTTTTCTTTTTTTGTTAATAACTGCTAACAAGTATGGCTGAAAACACGTTCGGTATTATATGGCCACGTGACCAGTTGCACGTGAAAAAACACTTTTGCCACTATAGTGCTGTGCACATGATTTTGATCGATTCACCTGCACAAAAACGGGTGTTATCTGAAGACAATACGTGGCCATTACTGTTTAAAT